GGCGTTCGGCGAAAAAAGGCCAGATCTTCCGCTGCCGATTGCGTGTCAGTGCGCACCCTCAGGAGGTCCGCCTGTCTCCCCAGGCAATTCTCCCCTTCTTCGACCTTCGCTCTTATCGTCAATACTACAGTCGAGACGCCATGAAGGGTATCTATGGCGGAAGCCCAATCCATGCACGTTTTTCAAAATTAGAAATCTTCCCTTCGAATGGCCCAGAATTTACTATTACTTCACAATTTATCACTACATTTAAACATTTCTCGTACTGCACGCAACTTGCCTGTGGTACGTTCAGTCAATACTGCTTCAATTCTGGTGCGTCAGCATTTTTAGAGGGCCTGGTTTGTTAAAATCTGTCCTTTTTTCGCCGAACGCCTTCACTCTTTTCGTGTTTGTGACGTTCTGTCAGAAACACGTATTCGATCTATCACTCTATCCCGTAAACCGAGCAGCAGACTGAACCCACCATGAAATGAGCACGCAGCCCTTCAACCACATCTCTATAGCCATAATAGGCAGAAAATGATGTTGAGCATTTCTGAACCCCACCAACCACCTGGTAAAAATCATGGATGACTCTGATTGGCTTCATAGCTGGAATGAACACAGAGAAAAATCCAATATCGAAAAACACAAGACAAAGTGGGCGGGGGTGGGGAGTGTTAATCTACAGCGCCAGGTATTCGAGTTCATTCCAGAATCTCACATGTGAAATGGAAACATTATCTATAATATCCACGAAATCATCATCGTACGAAACTACCTGATCCCAAATTCACTCCTTTAATCCTCTTAGAGAACTCTGCTGTTGTCAGTTGACTGGTCTCAAGAATATAAGTAGCCTCGTCTCAACAGGAGTACGCGTACTTTTCACCGCTGGGCTACCTGATCCAAATAATTTCAGAATATTCCCCCAAGGCTGCTGCCTTCAGGCTTCTGCACACAAGATTCCTTCATGAGAGTCAAGGCCAAAGCAGAGTCACAGTGGGGTCTAAGCATTCACGGTATTCTACTGGATTAGCAAGTGCCTTGTAACTCAAAGGCCGTGATTGCGATGGCGGACGATTTCGAAGACGTTATGAGGCGACGTCACTGGTGGACCAAAGGCCTCAGCGAAGGGGGGGGGGGGCGTGACTGGCACCACATTTTGATGCATTTCCACCAATCACACTCAATTTTGCGTTTCATCCTTGCGCAGGGGCCATGCTAATCTTCGCTGTATTGTTCCGATTTTAGTATATGTTCAGAAATGAACACTCACTGACGTCACCAAAACGCTCCGCCCTTCAGCCATCATGCTCACTGCCTGAAATAAGATTTTACAA